CTTTGGGCACATTTCCACCCACTGACTCCAGAAATGTAACATAATTTGTACCTAAAACACCAACCATGGGGCACTATTCCTCCCACTGACACCAATGATGGGGCACTATTCCTCCCACTGACACCAATGATGGGGCACTATTCCTCCCACTGACACCAATGATGGGGCACTATTCCTCCCACTGACACCAATGATGGGGCACTATTCCTCCCACTGACACCAATGATGGGGCACTATTCCTCCCACTGACACCAATGATGGTGCACTATTCCTCCCACTGACACCAATGATGGGACACTATTCCTCCCAGTGACACCAATGATGGGACACTATTCCTCCCAGTGACACCAATGATGGGGCACTATTCCTCCCACTGACACCAATGATGGGGCACTATTCCTCCCATTGACACCAATGATGGGGCACTATTCCTCCCACTGACACCAATGTTGGGACACTATTCCTCCCACTGACACCAATGATGGGGCACTATTCCTCCCATTGACACCAATGATGGGGCACTATTCCTCCCACTGACACCAATGTTGGGACACTATTCCTCCCACTGACACCAATGATGGGACACTATTCCTCCCACTGACACCAATGATGGGACACTATTCCTCTCACTGACACCAATGATGGGGCACTATTCCTCTCACTGACACACCAATGATGGGACACTATTCCTCTCACTGACACCAATGATGGGGCACTATTTCCTCCCAATTATACTAATGATGGGGCACTATTCCTCCCACTGACACCAATGATGGGGCACTATTCCTCCCAATTATACTAATGATGGGGCACTATTCCTCCCAATGACACCAATGATGGGGCACTATTCCTCCCACTGACACCAATGATGGGGCACTATTCCTCCCAATTATACTAATGATGGGGCACTATTCCTCCCAATGACACCAATGATGGGGCACTATTCCTCCCACTGATACCAATGATGGGCACTATTCCTCCCACTGACACCAATGATGGGGCACTATTCCTCCCGCTGACACCAATGATGGGGCATTATTCCTCCCACTGACACCAATGATGGGGCACTAATCCTCCCACTGACACCAGTGATGGGGCACTATTCCTCCCACTGATACCAATGGTGGGGCACTATTCCTCCCACTGACACCAATGATGGGGCACTATTCCTCCCACTGACACCAATGATGGGGCATTATTCCTCCCACTGACACCAATGATGGGGCACTAATCCTCCCACTGACACCAATGATGGGGCACTATTCCTCCCACTGATACCAATGGTGGGGCACTATTCCTCCCACTGACACCAATGATGGGGCATTATTCCTCCCACTGACACCAATGATGGGGCACTAATCCTCCCACTGACACCAATGACGGGGCACTATTCCTCCCACTGATACCAATGATGGGGCACTATTCCTCCCACTGACACCAATGATGGGGCATTATTCCCCCCACTGACACCAATGATGGGGCACTAACCCTCCCACTGACACCAATGATGGGGCACTATTCCTCCCACTGATACCAATGATGGGGCACTATTCCTCTCACTGACACCCATTATGGGGCACAATCATTCCCAAAGACACCAATGATGGGGCCCAATTCCTCCCACTGACAGGAATGATAGGGCACTATTCCTCCCAATGATACCATTGAATTCCACTGACACCTACAACAGGGGGCACTATTCCTCCCAATGACACTAATTATGGGACACTATTCCTTCTAATGACACCAATGATGGGGCACTATGCTCCCCCCCCCCAATGACACCAACAATTAGGTACTATTCCTGCCAATAACACCAGTGATGGGGCACAATTCCTCCCACTGACACCAACGATGGGGCACTATTCCCTCCAGTGACACCAATGATGGGAGACTGTTCCTTCCCTAAAACTAAAGATGGGGCCTTGTTTATCCCTACTGACCCCAATACATTTTCTACTTCCACTTGCTCATGCCAGGCTCCCTAAAGTCTAAGAGTGTGGCTCACACCAATGCTGTGCGGGAAACGCTGCGCATCCCGTGCATTTCCCGCACCGCATTGCGTTCATGCGACCTGGTGTGGGTGTCCATGGTAAATTAATGTCACCCTATAACAGATCACAAAACTTAGAAAGTGAGAACACCCATGCGATGCGATTCAGGCGCGGGTTAAAAAAGGATCCTGCACCTTTGGAGGTCGCACCGCACACACATCGCCTGTAATCCGCACAGCAATGTTTCCTTTATCCTGAAAATTTGCACTTGATAAACCATTTCGTAAATATCGCGTGATTTTAAAAAAGTGGAGCAACTGCCATTTTATTCTCCAGGGTCTCTGCTTCCAGAAAAATGTATGTTTTGGAAAATGCTTTTTAACCCCTTCCAGTCCGGACACTTTCCCCCCCTTCCAGTCCAGACACTTTCCCCCCTTCCAGTCCGGACACTTTCCCCCCCTTCCAGTCCAGACACTTTCCCCCCTTCCAGTCCGGACACTTTCACCCCCTTCCAGTCCGGACACTTTCCCCCCCTTCCAGTCCGGACACTTCCCCCCCTTCCAGTCCGGACACTTTCCCCCCTTCCAGTCCGGACACTTTCACCCCCTTCCAGTCCGGACACTTTCCCCCCCTTCCAGTCCAGACACTTTCACCCCCTTCCAGTCCGGACACTTTCACCCCCTTCCAGTCCGGACACTTCCCCCCCCCTTCCAGTCCGGACACTTTCACCCCCTTCCAGTCCGGACACTTTCACCCCCTTCCAGTCCGGACACTTCCCCCCCTTCCAGTCCGACACTTCCCCCCCCTTCCAGTCCGGACACTTCCCCCCCCTTTCCAATCCGGACACTTTCCCCCCCTTCCAGTCCGGACACTTTCCCCCCCTTCCAGTCCGGACACTTCCCCCCCCCTTCCAATCCGGACACTTTCCCCCCCTTCCAGTCCGGACACTTTCCCCCCCTTCCAGTCCGGACACTTTTCCCCCCTTCCAGTCCGGACACTTTCCCCCCCTTCCAGTCCGGACACTTTCCCCCCCCCCTTCCAGTCCGGACACTTTCACCCCCTTCCAGTCCGGACACTTTCCCCCCCTTCCAGTCCGGACACTTTCACCCCCCTTCCAGTCCGGACACTTTCACCCCCTTCCAGTCCGGACACTTTCCCCCCTTCCAGTCCAGACACTTTCCCCCCCTTCCAGTCCGGACACTTTCATCCCCCCCTTCCAGTCCGGACACTTTCACTCCCTTCCAGTCCGGACACTTTCACTCCCTTCCAGTCCAGACACTTTCACCCCTTTCCAGTCCGGACGCTTTCACTCCCCCCCCCTTCCAGTCCGGACGCTTTCACTCCCTTCCAGTCCAGACACTTTCCCCCCCTTCCAGTCCGGACACTTTCACCCCCTTCCAGTCCGGACACTTTCCCCCCCCCCTTCCAGTCCGGACACTTTCCCCCCCTTCCTGCCCAGGTCAATTTTCAGCTTTCAGCGCTATCACACTTTGAATGACAATTGCGCAGGTCATGCAACACTGTACCCATATGAATTTTTTGAGCATTTTTTCGAGACAGATAAAGCTTTATTTTGGTGGTATTTATTCACCGCTGGGATTTTTATTTTTTTTGCTATATAAATGATAATGTCCAAAAATGTTTTTCTTATAAAATTTTGCAAAAAAATAATATTTCATCATAAATCTCGGCCAAAATGTATTCAGTTATCTTTTTAGTATACAAAAAAAATAACCCAAATTAGTTTATAACCAAAAATTATAAATTAAAAAACAAAATTTTTTACATTTTTATTTTAATTTGTTATATTATTATTTATGGGGTTTTTTTTACATACTGTCACCCTCGCAGTACAGTGTCACCATGGTAACACTGTACTACTTGTGGGGGGCATTCTTGCAACCATTGAGAAATACTGTGTGAGCTGTGATTGGTCACAGCTTGTCACATGGTACAAGGCTGTTGTGAATGGCCCTGTACCATGTGATCTCTGTGATCATTCACAGATTTCACTAGTAGTAAGCAATGATGTCAGAAGTGACATCTTGCTTACTACTCTTCATGTGATCACTGATTGGCCAATCAGTGATCACATGATCGGGACCTCGCACAGAAGTCCCGTACGACGATTGGTGCTCCGGAGGACACCGGATCGCGGTGCTGCGTGCTCCATAAACGCCACCCCACCCTGCACTGCTACCCTGCACTGCCGTTTATATACAATGGCCGGATGGGAGGTGGTTAAACATTTCCAAAAAACAAAAAGGAAAACCGTCTCTGACAGTAAAAGGGTTAAAATAAAGGGATGAGAAATAAAGCCCGCGGTTCTTCGGTAAAAAAATGCGCAAAGATTCCTAAAGAAACAATCTCTGGGGAAAATGTCAGATATGTGCGAGGAAGAAGACGGCCTTTATATTTGATATCAGGGGAGAGTCTATTTTAGGTTTGAGTTTCCTTTTCACGTCAAAGCGTCTTTATCAGAGCCGATCGCAGCGCCGAACACATGACTGCCAATCAGCCTGAGGAATAAAGAGCCATAGATAACGGGACGGCGGAGCGCGGGATAAATGGCGGCTCTGTGTGCGGCCATGAAAGCCTTCTGTCGGCTGACACCAGATACTCGGCCCGGGTCCTCTGAGTGGAGATGACTCCCCGTATCTCCATCTCCATCTCTGCTATTGTCACAGAGACACCAGGATGGAGCGGCTCCCCGCGGAATACGATCTACGCCGATTGGCAGCGCTCGCCGGTGATGAGCCGCGACGGTCACCGCTTCTGCTGCTCCCTGAATACGATTTTCCGGCTCACAGATCTTTAAAAAGAAAAATGTTATATTGTAATGAAATATATCTTAAGACAATACTTTTATTTGGCTTTGAGATAATCTGGGAGGAGTTTAGTCTGACCTCCGACCTTCCCTCCAGTCTTGCAAGGTGTCCCGGCTCCTCCTCTTCCATCTTGCACAGGTGTCCCGGCTCCTCCCCTTCAGTCTTTCACTGGTGTATCGGCTCCTCCCCTCTAGTCTTGCACAGGTGTACCGGCTCCTCCCCTTCAGTCTTACACAGGTGTATAGGCTCCTCCCCTTCAGTCTTGCACAGATGTATCGGCTCCTCCCCTCTAGTCTTGCTCAGGTGTACCGGCTCCTCCCCTTCAGTCTTACACAGGTGTATAGGCTCCTCCCCTTCAGTCTTGCACAGGTGTATCGGCTCCTCGCTTCAGTCTTACCCCTTCAGTCTTACACAGGTGCACCTGCTCCTCCCCTTCACTTTTGCACAGTTGTATCGGCTCCTCCCCTTCAGTCTTGCACAGGTGTACCGGCTCCTCCCCTTCAGTGTTTTGCACAGTGTATCAGCTCCTCCCCTTCAGTCTTGCACAGGTTTACCGGCCCCTCCCCTCTAGTCTTGCACAGGTGTACCGGCTCCTCCCCTTCAGTCTTGCACAGGTGTACCGGCTCCTCCCCTCTAGTCTTGCACAGGTGTACCGGCTCCCCCTTCAGTCTTGCACAGGTGTACCGGCTCCTCCCCTTAGTCTTGCACAGGTGTACCGGCTCCTCCCCTTCAGTCTTGCACAGGTGTACAGATCCTCCCTTCACTTTTGCACAGGTGTACCGGCTCCTCCCCTTCTGTTTTGCACACGTGTACTGGCTCCTCCCCTTCACTTTTGAACAGGTGTACCGGCTCCTCCCCTGTCCTGGCTCTCTCTGAGGTCACTGCACACTGGGAGCTTCTCACAATGTGCATTAGCAGAAAGTCAGAACCCAGGACGTCCAGCATCATCCAGCACCTTTTTCCCCATCCTGACTGGCCCACCCCTTCCATTCTTTAGTCAGGCATTGCCTCAGCATCACATTGTGTGTGTCACCAGGTGCCCTCCTCCAGACTGACTTCACAGTATTGCAGTGTCTTGCTGTGACCCCCATGAACCCCTGTGTGCCCTCTGACTCTAGAGCACCCTGTGTCCTTCTCCTGACTGCATCTTGTGTGCCCCAGACTCTTGTGCCGAGCACCCTGTGTTTTCCCCTTTAGTGTGACCTTGTGTGCCCCCATGTGGACCCCATGAGCACCCTTGTGGACCCATGACTATGCACCCCTGTGGACCCCATGACTCCAATGTATCCCTGTGGACCCCATGACTCCAATGTTCCCTGTGGACCCCATGACTCCAATGTATCCCAGAGCACCCCGTGTCTTCTTACAACCTCAGTACATCCTTGTTTGCCCCATGACTCTTGTGCACCACAGGCATGTGTCCTTGTGCCCTTAGTGTGTCCTTGTGTGCCCCCTGTGCACCCCTGTGTGTTCCATGTCTCCTGTGCACCCCACTGTGTGCTCCATGTATCCTGTGCACCCCTGTGTGTTCCATGTGTCTCCTGTGCACCCCTGTGTGTTCCATGTCTCCTGTGCACCCCTGTGTGTTCCATGTCTCCGTGCACATCTGTGTGTTCCATGTCTCCTGTGCACCCCACTGTGTGTTCCATGTCTCCTGTGCACCCCACTGTGTGTTCCATGTCTCCTGTGCACCCCTGTGTGTTCCATGTCTCCTGTGCACCCCTGTGTGTTCCATGTCTCCTGTGCACTCCACTGTGTGTTCCATGTCTCCTGTGCACCCCACTGTGTGTTCCATGTCTCCTGTGCACCCCACTGTGTGCTCCATGTCTCCCACCCCTGTGCTCCCCGTGACTCTAATATGCCTCAGAGCACCCTGAGTCTTCCAGCAACCTCAGTACATCCTTGTGCACCCCTTAGCTCCTGTGGACCCCAGTGCATCCTATTTGTGACCTCAGTATATCCTTGTGCACCCCTGTGTACCTCATGATTCCCATGCACCCCTGTGTACCCCATGACTTCCGTGTACCCCATGAATCCTGTGCACCTCTGTGCTTCCCATGACTCCCTTGCATCCCTGTGTACCTTATGACTCCCATGTGCCCCATGACTCCCCTGTGCTCCCCATGACTCCCTTGCCCCCTGTGCACCCCATGACTCCCTTGCACCCCTGTGTACCACATGATTCCTGTGCACCTCATGACTCCCATGCACCCCATGATTCCTGTGCTCCCCTGTGTGCTCCATGACTCTCATGACTCCCCTGTGTGCCCCATGACTCCCGTTCACCCCTGTGCGCCCCATGACCGTTCACCCCTGTGCACCCCATGACTCCGTTCACCCCTGTGTGCCCATGACTCCCGTTCACCCCTGTGCGCCCCATGACTCCGTTCACCCCTGTGCGCCCCATGACTCCCGTTCACCCCCATGTCCGTTCCCCCTGTGCACCCCATGACTCCGTTCACCCCTGTGTCCCCATGACTCCCCCGAGCACCCTGTGCTTCCCCCCATGACCCGTTCACCCCTGTGCACCCCATGACTCCGTTCACCCCTGTGTGCCCCATGACTCCCGAGCACCCTTGTGCTCCCCATGACTCCCGAGCACCCCTGTGCTCCCCATGACTCTCATGCACCCCTGTGCTCCCGTGACTCTAGTGTACCCTTGTGTGCTCCCATGACTCTCGTGTACCCCTGTGCTCCCCCCTGTGACTCCTAGTGTACCCCTGTGTGACTACCCCTGTGCTCCCATGACTCTAGTGTACCCCAGAGCATACTGTGTCTTCTGGTTATCCCTGGCACGTTGCGTGCCTCCATGGCACCTGTGTCTCTATGCAGTCTCTGGCACAATTCCTCCCACTTGTATGGCCTGTGACACCCCACCAGGGCGGGCAATACAAAGTAGTAAAATAAATATTTTAGCGCTCTCTTTATATATAATAATTAAAATGAAAACAAGTAAAAAAAACACACAAACCGCAGAGCAGCCATAAGATAAATCGCCTCCTTTGAAAAGGAATTTTTTTTTCTCCTTTATTACGGGAGAAAGGTCAGAGTATGGACAGCGAGCGCTCGGCGCTGACAATGGCGGGTCTGTTCCTCATTTTATGCTTGACGTGTTGTAGACAGTCGGCCAGCTGACGGTTTGGACTGCGTCTGCCAAACTTTTGATTCCCCCCATCCCCCCCCCAAATAAAAAATGCTGCAAAACATTTCAAGAAGCAATACAAGGATCTGATGAAAGCCAGATTTCAGCTATTCAGCCATTCTCCATCCAGGAAGATTTTATTATGATTTTTGTATAGCTACCTTAAAGCTGCAGCCAGACAGATGCATTATATATATATAAATGAAGAATTGAAGAATGCATCTGTCTGTCTGGCTGCAGCTTTTAAGTAGCTATACAAAAATCATAATATATATATATAATGCAGGATGGACCCTGGAACAGTTCCACCTTAGGCTGGGGCCGCTATTGCCTTTCCAGGGGCTATGCAGTAATGATTCACAATAAAACTATTAGAAATTTCTCATTAAAATTCCCCTGCAGGTAGTTACATATTCCTTTTTGTAATTCTATTATAAATGTATATATCATTTTATATTATAAATTTATAATATTAATAGGTTTTTTTTTTTGGTTTTTTTTTAATACGTATACTATTATAATTTTATATATAATATATTTTTTTATTATATACTTATAATATTGTAATAATAATAGTTATGTTTTTAGGTTTTTTTACTACTTTTAGTATAATTTTATGTATAATATATATTTATATTACAATATTCTATATTTAATATATTATATTATTAATAGTTATGAATGTTTTTGGGTTTTTTTAATACTTATATTTTAATTTATAGGTAATATATATTTTATATATTATATTATTCTATATTTATAATATTATAATAATAGTTATGAATGTTTTTGGGTTTTTTTATACTTATATTTTAATTTAGAGGTAATATATATTTTATGTATTATATTATTCTATATTTATAATATTATAATAATAATAATTATGAATGTTTTAGTTTTTTTTTTTACTTATAATATTATAAATTTATATGTAATATATATTTTATATTATATTATTTATATTTTATAATATTATAATAATAATAATAGTTATGAATGTTTTTGGTTTTTTTAATACTTATATTTTAATTTATATGTAATATATATTTTATATATTATATTATTCTATATTTTATAATATTATAATAATAATAATTATGAATGTTTTTTTTTTTTTTAATACTTATAATATTATATTTTTTTTATAATTTTATATGTAATATTATATTTTATTTATATTATTCTATATTTATAATATTATAATAATAATAATATAGTTATGAATGTTTTTGGTTTTTTTAATACTTATATTTTAATTTATATGTAATATATATTTTATATATTATATTATTCTATATTTATAATATTATAATAATAATTATGAATGTTTTTGGTTTTTTAATACTTATAATACTATAATTTATATGTAATATATATTTCATATTATATTTATTCTATATTATAATATAATAATAATAATAATAGTTATGAATTTTTTGTTTTTTTAATACTTATATTTTTTATATATGAAATATATATTTTATATTATATTGTTCTATATTTATAATATTATAATAATAATAATAGTTATGAATGTTTTTTTTTTTTTTTAATACTTATATTTTAATTTATATGTAATATATATTTTATATTTATATTATTTTTTATATTTATAATATTATAATAATAATTAATTATGAATGTTTTTGGTTTTTTTAATACTTATAATACTATAATTTATATGTAATATATATTTCATATTATATTATTCTATATTTATAATATAATAATAATAATAATAGTTATGAATGTTTTTTTTTTTTTTTTATACTTATATTTTAATATATATAAATATTTATTTTTATATTATATTGTTCTATATTTATAATATTATAATAATAATAATAGTTTTTTAATGTTTTTTTTTTTTATACTTATAATATTATAATTTATATGTAATATATTTTTTATATTATATTATTCTATAGTTATAATATTATACTATTAAAATATATGTTTTTAGTTTTTTTAATACGTATATTATAATTGTATATATAATATATTTTTGATTGTAATAATATATATTTATAATATTAATATTATTATTAATGTTATAATATATTATAGTAATATTAGTAATAATATTATCTTTATTTTTTCTCCTTTGTTGTAAGCTAATGCCATCTAGATGCCAACCCAGCTGTATTTTGGTAGGATGCTGATTTTTATAATAGATCACCCATCACCATTTCACGTCTCCATTGTTGTATTCCTGGTATCCTCTATACACATCTCCTGCGCTCGGCTTTGCGCACCAAACATTCACATCCATTTTAAAGTGTATCTAAACCCAACTACAAAAATGTCATATATTGCAGCTTACCAGCCCGTAGATGGGGTGGCTGCATTTGCTACCTTTCTGAGCTGATAACTTTCTGTGCTACACTCTTATCAGTTCCCAGTTATTTCTGGGGACTACAGAATACATCCCCCTCTCCTCATCTCCATAACATAGGGGGACGTGGTCTATAGTCCTTAGAAATAAATGGGAACAATATAACTGATAATTTGGATATTTGAAGTGGCACTAAAAAAATAAAATTCTATTCCAGTATGTATTCTATACTCAAAAAAAGTCCCTTCTATTCCTCTTAGCCGCCT